TCAGCAGGACAGGGAGGTGATCAGTGCCAATGAAATCATGTCTAGCAGAGAAAGATGAGAGAGAGGAAAACATAAAAAATCAACTTTGTGCCCAGGGTGAAAGAATCAGTGTCACACAGTACATTAGAGACAATTCACTTCCCAGCTAAAGAGTCACTGTTGCGTAAGGACCACAGAGAGAGGGAGGGGGACCAGTTGTGTTTGGGTGGGAACGAGTGATGCAATGTTGATTTTAGTCATACACCAATTTAGGCACCCCAGTTTTAGGGCCAACACCATTAGAAATGCCAAATCTCAGATCAGGTCTGCTGTGAAAGGGGAGGTGTTCAGCTTTCTTCATACCCTTCGCAGGCACACAGTCACTGCATCATCAAAGCTTCTTGTTCGTCTCAACTGTCAGGTCAAGACAGACCAAAGTTCTCAGCATGTCACACTAAATGCCTTTTGCACTACAGTGTTTAAAGGACATTAACAACATTCCCCTGAGGAAGACAAGCATTGTAGGGTCCAGAAACTGGACACACTCAAGGACTTTTTATTTGCCCAACATCTGCTGGGCAAGGGGCATGTGAAGGGAAAGGATCTGGCATGGAAATACAGCATGAGTCCTGAACACACAGCCTGAGTGTCTGAACTACAAGTAGTTGCCGTCACCTGTGTGAGAGCTGGACAGATTCCTCCTGTCCTGGAAGAAGTTTCCCTGACTTTGGGGAGACACTGAAGAGCTGGTTATCCTGAATTCTCATCTGGTGCAGCTCACAGGAGCTAAACTCAGCAACCTCTGCCCAGTGCTCCATGTCCATCTTCTGATCAGAAGGAAACAGGAAAGCCCTAGAGAACCAGTCAGCTGTTCAGCAACAAGGACACAAAACTTCCCGGGCCCATGGTCAGCATATTCAGACCAGCCAGTCTTAGCCCAGCTGGTGGACAAATTATGTTTCATCAGGTCTGATCTGCAGAACTCTCTGCCATTCCTTGCTTGCTTCCCCACCCAGACCCATCAGCAGATCTCAAACATCTCCACAACACAAGCTGCAGCTACAAAATCCACCCTAATTATTTGCAAACATCTCATGGCCCCTGTGAGTATTTCCATATCCCCAGCGAGGCCCTAGAAAAGGCTGAGGTTCAGCAAGTACCACTTACCACTCCACAGGCACTACACCCTTGTTCGCTAGCAGGAGCATCACAATCGTAGGCTCAGAGACTATCGGGGCAGCCCCAAAGTTGAAATCCAGCAGGAGAGGGGTGTATACTGGAGGGATCAAGCATGTGCTGATCACAGGAGAGAAAGAAAAGACAGGAAGAATGGTTGTCAGGGGAAAGGGTTACTCTACAATGGCTGTCTTCCTTATAATTCTTCTCTGACCTTATGTTAATTGCCCTTTTGGGAAAACAGATATTGGGCATAAGGCAGGCCTTTTGATTTTCTCAAAAAAATATATTTTTAAAGTGCCTAATTACAATAAGTGGAATAAGAGAGTCTTGCTTAGGTGAGGTGTCTTTTCAGCTCCCCAGTACAAGGAAGTCGCTAATGTACTGGAGCAGGTCCAGTGGAGGGCCACCAAGACGGTTTAGTGCTGGAACACTTTACTTAAAAGGAGCAACTAAGAGACCTGTGTTTGTTCAGCCTTATAGAGCAAGGGCTCAGGGATGGCAACTGCACAAGTTGCAACACAAGATATTCCAATCAGATACTAAGAAAAAAGGTTTTGCCATTAAAGTGGTCAAATACTGGAATCAGATACCCAGATAAGCTGTGGTTTCTTGATCCTCAGAGATATTAAACATTGAACTGGACAAAGACCTGATCTAGTTGTCCCTGCTTTGAGCAAGGCGCTAGACCAGAGACTTTTAGATGTTCATTGCAATTAAATTATCCTTTGTTTCGGTGGCTCCTCTCTAGGAAGGGTTAGCAGAGCAGGGAGCTGAGCAACTACTTGCAATGGCTAGGATGGAATAACAGACTGGTATGCAGCAGTGAGCCACAACACAAGCCAACGGCCACAGCATGTCTGTCTGGCTCATGACAGGGACTGAAAGAACTTCTGATCCATCTCCTCATCTCACCTGTGCCTTGTGGGAACTCTGTAGGTGAGCTCGCTGGGAGTCGGGTCTTGCTCCAAGTATTTATTCAGTGCGTTCAAGGAAAAGAGCCTCCAGAGGTGCAACTTGCTGATATTGCTGGCACTCCCTGCTGAGTGGGCATCTGCGATGCAGAGAGTTGGGTAGATGCCTGTTGCTACAATGCAGCAGAGGGACTGCTGCTCCTCTTTTGTGCTTGAAAGATCTGTAGCTTGGGAGAGAAAGAAACACCAAAAAGTAGTCATGCACCATTAAGGGGCAGCTATCTGGGACAGAAAAATGGAGAGAGGCCCCACCCAGACCAAAGAAAGAAAGAACAGGACTTGTACAGAGTCTTTTCTTTGGCAGCTTCTGAAAACCTCTAAACCACTGACTTTTAGTTGTACCTTGGCTTCTGCATTTAGAGATCCCCAAAAGACTATGAATGTGATCCTTTTCAACAGTGTATTTACACAGCTTAGTTCTGCAGTATGTGAAAACCCACTTTTTTTATTTAAGCCCCCAGCCTAGTCATTTTAGGAAGTGCCCCATATTTTCACACTGAAAAAAAAATCATAAATGGTTGTTTATATCTCATCTTCTTCAATCAATTCATGTGGCATTGCTGTTCTTCACTTTCCAAGCTGGAAACTCCTTGTCTAACTAGTCTCTTCTTGTACAAATGAGGTGTTTCCCACCTCTAAACATCTCTGTTGCCTCTCTCCATGTCTTTTATAGTCCAACTATATTCTTTCTGCTATGGAGTGCAATCCAGAACTGCAAAAAAGGACCTCAGATACATAGGACTTGTTGCATGAAGCTCTCAGAATATGTTTCAGGACACACCATAAAAGGCCAAGATTGTGTAGAGGAGTAGGGAATCTTGTGACCACAGCAGCAGGAAACTTGGACCTCTTCCTGTCTGTGTCTCATGGCTCAATCATATCTGACCCCAAAAGGTGCAGGAAAAAGGGGAGAGCACATAGGACCTGGCTCTGGTGAATTGCTCAGCGCAACGATTTTTTTCAGGCAGGACTCATACACTGGAAACTGTGCAGCTCAGCCTGTTATGGCACAGTTTATGTTGCTGAGGAGGAATGATTTCCCCAAAATACCCATCTCTCACCTGTGGGGGTGCAAATCGCGTATTTGATTGTCCAGGTGTAACGCAACCGATGGGCTGGTCTGACTGTTACTTGGACAAAAGCTTTAGACCTTGCGGGGATTGCCCCTGTGGAGTGTTCCAGCTCCAAAGCTGTAGGAGAAAAGAGGCTATGTGAGCTCTCAGCATCACTGATCTCTCTCACATGACACGTGTGTTCTGCGCACAGCTCCCCAGGCCTCCCTGCACTCCAGTCACTGCGACCCTGTGCTTAATTGCTAGGATCAGCTTCAGGTGTAGAAGTTGGGATTTCCAGACTATGACTGTAGGCAACTCATTGGGAGTACCCAACACTGCCTTTGGCAGGCAAAGAGCAGGGAACTGCCCCAAAGGAGGTCCTCTAGAAATGCAGTTAAGGGTTGTACTCCAACATTTCTTATGGGAAGCTCCTTTGTTTAACTTTCTTCTCTGCTCAGAAATTGCATCTTATTTTAAGGTCTAAATTGGTCCAGCTTCAATTGTCAGGTTCAGGGTTATACATTTTCCAGAAAGATAGAAGTCACCTGTAGCAAATCCCTAAGCAAAGGAGCAGACACTTCTCAGTCATTGAGGGGACTCTTCCTTCAGCACACACATGAGATGATGTAAATCATATTCACACGTGGGATGAGTCTGCACACACCGTATTATTTCAACAATTGCCCTTTGCACACCTGTGCACCTCCTTGCAAAAACACCTTCACATTCTTTGTGAAGTGCAAGCACCAACACAGGATTATAATTACCATTTTACCAGTGCTGTGCTTGGTGGCATAACTCCCTGTGAATTCTGGCTATCTTGCTTCTGCACCCCAGGGTCTGGGTATCCTCTTTACCACTGGATTGTAAAAGGAACTCATAAAATGGAAATTCTCTCTGATGAGTCTTCCAACATTTCTTCTCACCTATCCTGGTTTACTTAATTATGTGTGCTTCAAGGTAGACCTTCAAAATGTAAAAATAGTCCCTGAAAACCATTTTCTTCTGTCCTTAGTAAATGTAGAAAAAAACACCTTGCCTGCTTTAATTTTTCTCAAAATTACACATACACACATACACAGACTTCAAGCAAAAGAACAGCACAGATATTTTTGATGAAGTGATGGGAACACGAAGCTACTTGTGTTTCCAGAGAAACTCTGACAAAATTAACATGGCAATGAAATGTTTCTAACCACTTGCACAGCACAAGAAGAGGTACGCACACGTCTTTTAAGGCATACTTCTGTCATATGAAACATGGGTCCCTTAAGGCACTTAATGGAATAGATGCAAGGTAGCCAGCTAACAGCCTAACCTCCAAGTTCATACTAGAACAATTTTGCAGAAGAGAGAAGGCCAAAGCCCCATCCCATGCTAATTCTCTTACAGTACCCAGAGGATCGCTGCGGACCTCCTTGGGGTCACAAGTCCCGGAGATCTGTTGTTCCACACTGAGGATGTACTTCAAAGAGCAGATCCCATCATTTAGCAGTGTAACCCTGCAGCTTTGCACATCACCAACCAGAACATTTCCGAGGTCCAGGTGCTCCTCTTGTGCCTGGAATTCAAACCCGCCACACAAAGGTCACTGTTACACATCAAGCATAGCCACCACTTATCTCTCCACATGCTGATCCCTTGGTGTGCACAGTGCAGTGAAAAGGGCTCCCTACTTTGTGTAGGACCTGCCATATCCTGGGAGGTGTTCTACCAGGTCTGCAAGGGGCTCAGTCTGCCCTCCAAATGCTTTCTCCTGCTGTTATTTAGGCTACTTGCTGGGTAAGGTGCAGCACATTTGGAACTGCGAGGACAGCTGCAGTTGGCACAAGGGCTGAGCTCTCTCTGCCACTCCTTCCATGACTGCACATTTGAACTGGCAGGACATTTACATGATGCTGTTGCTGTTAGGCTGCCAGAATCAGCTCCATAATCTCCACTGAAAGCAATGTCTGGGAATTTTGCTGCAAATCCTTATTGGCTGTCTCCAGTAAAGATTGTGCAAAAAGGGCAAGCCCAAGACCCCCATCCCACCTTAGTACCCCTCCTACTATTCAGTGGGCCCCAGTTCCTTACCCTGATGGTGCCCAGTGCCCCCTGTCCAACAATGCGTAAGGCATAATGGACACTTTCAGGAGATGCTGGGTCTGGGCTTTTCCTCCTCACAAACACCATAGCTCGCAGCAGATACTTGGTCTCCTTGACAGGAGTAAAAGTCCACATCTGAGCCTGAAATCACAAGACAAAAGGAGAGCACTCACAGGAGCTCCAGACCTGAGCCAAACCTATATGCCACAACAGTTGCATTCAGTGCACAGCCTCTTCCTCCATTGCAGCTGACCTAGACCTCTACAGACAACTCTGGAGACATTCATTTCCATCCTCTGCTATCTCTATCTGTATCAAAGGTTCATATTTGGAATGCACATTCAGATATTCAAAGCCAGGCCATGGGAATGTGCTAGTCCTCACTACTCTCAAAAAACACTCAGGGAATACAGTAAAGGTTTAGAACCTGAACATGCAGGTGGGAGAACAGAAGAACATCAAACTCTCTCATGCTCTCATTTATCCTCCAACTATTGACATCTCCTGGTGCCTGGCAAAGTTGCTGTGTTAATGCCCAGTCTCATCCAGGGTATCACTATCTAGTGCCCGTTTAAGACCCATTTGGTCCTATAGTCAAGGAGGTTGTCATCGTGTTTGGGCAAACCCACATTGTGGGAATCAGCACAACTGCAGATACTGGCTAGGAACCCAAGCTAAGACACTGATTAGTATTCTCCAACTTCAGCATTAACAACCAAATGATTGGCAGCCATCACATTTCTGCTCCAAACACTCCACAGCTGTATTGTAGAGAGCAAAATACAGCTTTGGTAGAACTTGAACTTACCATGGCTTCATAGGGCTGGAGGATCCCTGTAGTGGGTCTGACAGACAGGATCTTGCTCTCAGACTGATGGATCTTCCATGTGAAAACCATGGGTAGCCTTGTGCAGTTTTTAATGGTATACATTCGTGTATCAGACTGGCTTGAAGTATAGAATCCCATCACCTTCTAAGAGCAAAAGAAGGGGCTCCCCACAACTTCGGAGAGCAATCTCCTGTGGAATTAAGGGAAAAGTAACAGACATTAGCTAGAAGTCTCAGCTACCTCTAGAAGGAGCTTGCAAAGATGTTGCTCCTTCCTATCTAGGAAGCAAGAACAAATTGGGTCCGAAGGAGGAAGTGAAGGGCTTTAGGTTGTGCTGTCAAAGAGGTCCCTGAGCATAGCATAGTGCATTCCAGGAGATAGAAACCCAGTGGAACAAGGGGTACAGGGTGTCTGGCACCACAAGCACCATCTATCTGCAGTGTTGACCCTGCCTTAAATGTTGAAAACATTCTTGTGTTCCTATTTCCAAATGGGAAAATCCAAACTAACCATTAGGACATATAACAGGGACCATAGCACAAGTCACTGTGGAAAGGGAAGACTACAAGGGTACAAAACATCACTCACCATCTTCTACTTCCTTTTCCCTACCTTGGTGTATCCAAGATAAGAATTCAGCTGCAAAGGCAGGACGTGCTGCTGTGAGGCTGTGTTAACTGGGTGAGTGGAGAGAAAGAAAATCTGGTGGCCACCTGGAATGATGAGTCCTGAGCAGGGCTTGATTGAAACAGAGGGACAGGCAGCTTGGTTCACATTGAAAGTCATCAAGGAGGTGCCCGTGTTCAAGAGCAGCATACTGCAGTAGGTATCAGTGTTAGGAGTCACAGGAGGAAAAGTCTGGTGGAGACAAGCAAGAAAAGGTCATTTGTACTGCATTTAGAAAACCAGCTTAAAAGAAAAAGCTTTCACTGTGTTGAATTCCAGGTTCCAACAAACACTACCCTGAGTCTACAGAGAATTTTGTAACTGCTTCTCTTCAGGGAAAGAAAGGAGATTCCCCAAGGGTACGCAAATTATGGTCTTCTCCCTTCCCACAGTGGCTCTCATCTTTCATAGGCCCATGGAACCAATGAAGTTACTTTACTTATGCAATATTTTCTGTTTATCCAATAAACAAGCTGCGTGCTGGGGCCTGCAGTCACTACATGGATCGTGACCTCCTGGATTAAGAATTCCAGCAGTCTGGAATTTGCTGCAGCTCGTGTGTGTCAGCTACAGGCTGCATGTCCTGAACTAGCTGAGGAGATTTTCTAAGAGGTTCTCAAGACTATTCTTACTCTCCAGGGTCACACCCCACTTTACCTCATATGATCAATACTTTCTTGTGCTACAGGAACAGCAGGAAGAGGGAAGGAAACTTCCACTCTATGTTGCAACCACTTCTCTTCCATAAGTGTGGATTCTCTGTGCTGCCTTCCCTTTGCTTAGGTGCATGCAGAGTGTCTGAGGCTCCTGGGAGACAACTAAGCACCCTTGTCAGTGCCTATGTCCACTTAAACAGAAAGGAGGGAGATGCCAACAGCTTTCCTGTCAGAGCTAATGAGATGCTCAGTGCAACCTGACACACTGGAGACTGGGAGGCTAATGCATCCTACCTCTGTACAAAAGCAGGAGTCTCCACACCATCAGAAACCACCTAAGCCACATCTCGGGATGTTGCAATGGGAGACAAGGTAAAGACTTCAGAGGTAAACAGTGAGTGTCTCTGCAAAGAACCAACCATCAACCACTTGCACACCTTGGGGACATCCAGGATGTACTGTGGGATGAAGTGCTCCCGTCCTGCTTCATACGTGTGTGCTCTCAGCCTGACAGTCAGGCACCAGGATGGACAGATAGTGGCTTCCTCTCTGATGTTGCTGTAGTGACTCAGCACCTGCAGGCACGCCAAGAACAGAAGAGAGTGCAGACAGGAAGGTGTGTGACCAGGTGTCTTCAAGTGCATGTACCAGCACAAGCAGTAGTTTGTTTCCGTAATATCCCCGGGGTTGAGAAGTTGACTTTTTCAAGGAAGAAGGGCTGACCAGTGCTGCATGAGACACGAGTGCTGCTTTCCCAAATAGCTATATTTGATACCCAAAAGAGCACTGAGTGACTTTCAAGCAGAAGGACCTATCCAAGCTATTCTGTGCTCCTACAAGAGTTACCTTAGGGAAGGAGCACCTACAGACACTCTAGTGCAGTTTGAAATCCAGTTAAGTGCTAACTTTAGCATCTGCAAGCGAGTCACTAAAAGTAAACATATATCTTTTATCTCAGCCTAAGAAACTCCTGATTCTAAGGTTACTTTGAGATATCCTCCACACTGACTTAGAAGGGAAAAAAAATGCAAGAAGAGTAATCAACAATGTAATGAAGATCTCTCTCGCCTACCAGGAAGTTTCTGGGTGATAAAATTCCTGCAATTGCAGCCTTGTGTGATGTGAATCCCACATAAAATGGCAGGAGAGGCTGCAGTGATGTACAGTGTCTTCAGCAGCTTCACTTGTAGAGGGCCAGACACAAAATACAAGTTACTGCCCATCACCCAGGCCACAACAACCATCCTTCTGCAGGTTCCCATCCACGTGCTCTTGCACAGTAATTCACAGTAATTCCTCCTTCAGTGAGGTGTACATAAATTCACATTCACTGGGGGCATGAGCAAGTTTGACTGCCCATATGTATGAGCTGTGGCTTACTTTGCTGATTTATCTTTGACAGGACACAGGTGAAGGAGAAATTTTAACCCATCAGTGTATCAAAACAGTGGTCAAATGAGTTAGTAAAGATGTCAGTTTGCCAAACTCAAAATAAAAGGTTCCATTTGAATTTTAACCCCCTAAAAGTCTTTAAGCATGTGGCCTTTTGCCAGGTCCTCTCTGAAACTGGTCCTAGCAATTCCCACTAACCTTGTAGAAGGCAAAACCCTCCAGCTCTGCTGCATAGAGACTGTTGAGCTGAGTGGGCTGGAAAAGGACTCGAAAGGCTGAAGACTTCAAAGGTGGGATGTCACAGATTTCAGGGCTCACTCGGATGGCACTGTCATGGCTGGGAGTCCAGGCAACAGTGATCTTTCCTTTGGTGTGGTTGGTAACACAGAGTGGAAGTGCTTCTACATGGTGGAGTGGCACACAGCAACCAAAATCATGCTCTGTGGGGCTGACACTAACATGAGGTGTAAACAAGGCCAGGTCACTGCTTACACCATCGTAGAAGTATTCAATCATGGAGTTGGCTTCAACAAATTCCTTGGGAGGCTTGTCCTGAGGGATCTACGGGATGGAAACATCTCAATGTGAGCAGGGGAAGTGTTCCTGTGGGAGACACCAGGCAATACAGTCCTGATGGCCTTCATCAAGGCCAAGCAAGAGGGCATGCAAGATGTACTTCAGTAACCGTTCCCAGGACAGCTTAAAGTCTAGGCTTCAAAGAGGCTCCTGTCTGTAAGCCGGTCTTCAATCTGAAGCTATATGAAGCAAAAGAAAACCCTGTGATTGAGTTAAAGCCAGAAAGTGTCTTAGTGGCTGAGCTTGGATAAAATCCAACAGATGCAGATGGTGTTGGTGTGCGCTGGGAACATTAACAACAGAGATACTAAAGAAGTCAGTGTGGCACTTGCAAATCCTTCTAGATTTATCTGGCATGGTCAACAGAAACCCAACATCTACAGAGAACAGCGTGAGAGTATCTCAGATTCCGGGGAGAGCAGCTCTCACCTCAGGAGGCAGCATGAGGGCTCCCTTTTCATCCACCTGCAACTTCCCATCTTTCAGCATCATACTCAAGATATCAGGGGGGTAGAAGGTCAGTTCCCTCACCATGTTGGTTCGGTACCAGAAGAGGTTTCTTGCATGAAGGATAGCTGGCTTAGCTGTGTCTGAGTGGCAGGTACCAAAAAAGTCCACATATATGGGTTCCTGGGAAAACGCCAGAAAGGATAATAAGAAATAAACTGCCCTTATGTGATTGCTTTGAGAGTTACAACATTCTAGTGTCTCACTTCCAAAACCATGCCTGGGAAAGGCTTAGCATCTGCAACATTAGACTGCCATTTACTTTATGCCTTGATGTGTACCAAGAACTTTTTTGAAAACTGGAGTGAAAGTTGAAGGCACTCAGTGGACAACTGTACGGCTAAATTTAACTCAGAGACCTAAATGGACAGGACCCACTGATGATGCACCTCACTCCACCTGTAGGTGTTACTGACTGTCTCTCCACATCAGCCCCCTACTGCTGATAGGAACTTGCACCATGAGGATTCTGCTCAGAAAGAGCCCAGGGCAGGTGGGCTCTTAATGGATTAATGGAAATGCAGTGGGGAGAGATTTCTGGGGGCTACTGAGTGAGAGGTCAGCCCTGGTGGGTTACACTGAAAGATCCCTCCGAGCTATCACAGCAATGAAACCACCCTTTGCCTTTCATACCTGATGATGGACAAGGCACACCACTCTGCGGTGATAGCTGATGGGGTGAGTAGGTTGAAAGGTCACCTTCAGCGTTTGTGTTGTTTTGCCCTCCAAGACTCCACAGGGGTGATCCAAGGAGAAGACGCTCCCTCTGCCATCAATATCAAACTGATAATAGGCCCGGACGTTTGAGATGTTGCTGATTTTCAGTGTCTGGATCGAACTTTCCCCGAGATTGATCCAGTCAAAGTCTACAGAGTATTGGTGCAGGTACACCAAAGGACCTAGCACAACATGAGAAACAGATCCTGGACCTGTTATAGCTGTTTCTGTCAACATGTTGCAAGCCACTGCTACACTTAACTGTTCTTCCCAAATGTGAATCACCTCATCAGCAAGCCCACCAGCCCTAGCAAACAGCTGGACATACACTTCCAACAGTCCCAAGCAAGCATATACCCCAAAGAGTGCAGCAGGGAGAGCCAGGATCCCAGCAGAAGGTAAGTCTGTGACTGTGACTAGGGCTGTGACAGTTCTTCCACAAGCACTAGCCCGTCCCCTACTGTGACAAGAAGACAGAAAAAAACAGGGAAGGCTTTCACTCAGTACCTCTACATGAGCCAACCACCTTCAGGACAGTCTTCAGGAGGCATCCAGCATATATGATAGTGAAATAGTCAGTACTGTGCTCTCCTACAATCTGAGGCTGAAATCGTATGCACAAGACCAGCTTTCCTTTGGCAGGGACAACATCATGGGATACATCACAGGAGAAAACATAATCTTGAACCAGAGAATCGTTTTCTCTTTCTATCCTACATGGTGCATCAACCTACAAGCAGAGAAGAAACAGGTTAACAAAGGAGTCAACGAGCCCCTTAAAAAAGGTCCTGATCCTTGCCTGGGGATGCTGAGCACCATTGCAGTGTGAATATCAACAGTAAAACAAATGAGTATGTCTTTGCCACTTGCAAGTTTCAGAGCCTGGGGAGAAGTCAGCACTGCTGTCATCCACATCAGCCTACATTCATCTTTTAATGAGCTGGGGTGGGCTGAGCTGGCACACAGAACAAGGTGCTCAAATGCACTGACTTGGAGAGCAATTAACCAAGTTGCAGTCTACTGAGGATACCAGAAGATCCATCAGCTGCCCGAGACACATGCACACCAATTTGAGAATGCCACAGCTGCCATACAGGACTGATGGGCTCGTCCAGGGTGAGCAAGAGAGCTGCAGGATATAAAAGACAAGATTGGCTGCCTGATCTGGACCAAGCACAGAGGAAAGTAGGCAGGAACTGCTATGCCATGCTGTAAATGGATAAGTTTCTAGCACTATAGATGGAAGGCAAGGGTAAATGTCCTGGTTGGTATGGGAAGGCTCATCATCTCTGTTTTATTCACACTCCCACTTGGGTTATTTCCACAGCATTAAGGGAGGTATTCAAGACCACATAACCCAGGGAAATATGCCAGCATGCCAACTTCTCACAAGAAGTAGTCTCCCCTCTTCACATACCACAGACATATTGCAGATTTCTACACATTTCTCCACAGTTGTCCCCACTGGCACTGATCCAAAGCACAGCACATCCTCAAATGTTTCGGGCTGTACACCTTCATACTCTTCCCCTGTCAGACTCACCCGCAGGTAGGGGTATTTTGCTGTTAAAGGGAATAATATACTGGGTTAAGAAAGAAAGGTAGAATCTCCATCCTTGGATACTAAACACTTAAATGGACAAGCCTCTGAGCAACCCCAGGTAACTCTGAAGTTTAATCTGCATTCAAAGTTGGCCCTGCTTTGTACCAAACAAACTCCTTTTCAGTCTTAATTTACTCAACTCAGAGTCACATCTTTTGTTTGTCAGTGGCCATACAAGGCACTTCAGGCAAGGACTTGCTAATGAAACCATTGCTTATTCTAGCTTGCATCCAGAAAGCTTTAGAGATTTCCCTCTGGCTCTCTGTATGGCAGGGACAGACAGGAGAGACCAAGTGCAGACAAGACCAGGAGTTTCTGGAGGTTTTTCAATTGTGCCAGTGAACTCCTCTCATTTCTTCCCCTCTGTCAACTTAAGAAGGCTCCAGAAATGCTGGTTTGGCCAAAGCATGCCACAGGGCATATTGGACCCTGTGTCTGTTCAGATCACACTTCCAAATTGACAAAAGTACATTAGAGAATTTCACAGGCCACTTTCAGGACATGGAGTTCACTTGTTCATGAGTGGGTTGAGCCAACTGTGTGATCCTCAGAGCACAGCACCTCCATGTATCCCTGTGGATACACTTCTTTGAGTGTTAAATGCAAGAAAAACTCACCCATGGCTTTTAGTTGGATAGTCCTCTTTTGTTTCTCTTCAACTCCAAAGCAGCATGTTGCTGCCACATTGTACACTGCAGCCATCTTGGGTTGGAAGACCACCTTGACCATGAACTCAGCACCTGGCTTCAACATTCCAAATTTAGGAATCATAGAGAAAGGGCTTGGTGTCTTCCAGGCAAAGCTGGTAGCAAGATCACTAGGAAATGGAAATATGTTGTAAGTAGATGAATGGACCCTGTGCTGCCTGTGCAATCACACAGAAGATGGACCTTTCCCAATGGGTTCTTCAGTTAGGGTGTGAAGCAACCAATGTCAAATGGCAGAATTTCTAATGCATCTGGCCAAATATGTGATGCTGGGAAGAAATTTGTCTAGTCTCTGCAAATGCTCTCTTCACACTTAAATGAATCTTAGCTATTACATCTAAACTGTATTGATGGCCATACAATTTCTCAGCTTCATCATATGATAGCAAACAAATCAGCTCCAAAATGAAGGATTTGCTTTTCCTGTGTCTAAATCTGCTACTACTTAATTCCAAATGAACATTTGCTCCTCTGTTATATGCCCAGGTGAGAAGACTGAGCTGTTTCTTAATAGCTTATTCGACTTTCCAGAACTCCCTTTGATTGTTTGATTTGTGCAAATGACATTATATACCATCAGCTTTTTTATTATATTGATTCCAAGCTGTGTGTTACTTACCACCCATATCCTCCACCTTCCTGGACCCCTCAGTCAATGCTAATGATTTCTCTAAAGGGAGAATGAATCACTTGAAATGGTTTCTGGCTGATACCTTGCTCTGCTGAAGGTACATGTGCCTTCTGTCCTTCTCACCCTCCTACTGCATCAGCTGACTGCTCTGGAGAGCATAGGCCATTTTTCAATTACTAAAGGTTATTCTGCTCTCACTGTAAATGGTTGGAAGTACACATCCTTCCTACCTAGGAACTTCTTCACTGCACTTCTTTCTACAATACTGTCTGAATTACTGTCCTTCCCTTATTCGAATAATACAGTCCTTGGTAACTGGGAACATCTTTGCTCCTAAATGATGACTTCAAGCCACAGAATACTGCCACTGCTTTGGACAGCTCCAAGAACCTAAGAGCAGGCACTGTAGAGACTCTCCAACTCCTGTATTGCCTGCCTCCAAATCAAAGAGGTCAGCTTGAGTACTGGCAACTCCACTGCCATACTGATGGCATTCGTGTGCCAAGGGAAGAGAGGCCAAGACACAGAAGAGCTAAAATGCTTCAGCTGGTAGCTCATCCTTCCCTGCTCAGGCTGGGCAGGCTGCCATTGATTAGCTATAAGCCCAGGCCTCTCCTGTGGATGTGGGATATTCTCAGTGGATACTGCTCCCCAATTATTTCCTGTGCATGAATGAATGTCAGTGTATACTGGAAACAGACAGATATGAGGTGTCAAGATGTGCCCACC